ATTTCAGAGCCTAGAGGAGAGGCAGATCAATTCAGTGTCTGCAGAACCCCTCGCACCCACCCCATTTTATCCCCACTTCTGTTTGAACCGCTTCTGTTTCCTCTCTAACCCGAGATGCGTATGTTAGGATTTCAAACTACAGTTTGTAAAGCTCAGCATAGGTAATATGCCTCCCTTTCTACAAAACATTCTATGGCTATGTGGAAAGAAGACCCGGCCATAGGACCAGGTAACCCGTTAGCTCACAGATTCCGTCAACACAGCATCCTCCTGACAGACCCCGACGTGGGCAGGGACCAGGAGCTCAGTGTTCCCACTGGATAAAGAGATCACATCTCCGCGTGGGGAAGTGACTTGCCCAGTGTTGCACAGGGCCTTGGAATGACAGGAGCAGGCCGAAGCAGCAGCATTGAGTCTGGAGGGGACAGGATGGGGGACAGACAGCTTTGATTTGAGGAGTGTGAGTAGAGGCGGGCACACGGCGTCCAGGATCCCGGCTGTCTTGCAGCGGTGGCTAAAGGAGGGAGGAGCAGGCCCCCTGCTCTGCTGGGAGGGAGTCGGCTGTCCCACCCACAGCCCCCTCTTCTCGTCCCCGCCCAGGCATCTCCCTGATCATGTGGAACGCTCTCTACACGGCTGAGAAGGTCATCATTCGATGGACCCTGCTCACCGAAGCCTGCTACTTCGGGGTCCAGTTCTTGGGTGAGTCCTGAGGTGGGCAGTGAGGGAGGCATCCTACTTTTTGAGGCTGATGAGCAGCTTCGCCCCTGACCTGCCTGCTGTAGCCACTCGGGTGTGTGGGAGGTGAAAACCTGTCTGTGAGGGCTGGGGAGAGGACAGAGGGATAAGGGCTCACCTGGCCGTGCTTACCTGTGTGCCTGCACACCTGTGCACGCACAACTAACACACGTGTCTGTGGCTTCCCAAATCTACACACCTGTATCTGTGGCCTTGCACACATGTCCACCTGCAGCCCCCCCACATGCTGCCCACTGTATCCAGCTCCTGTGTAATAATATGCGCTCCATCCTCCCCACCTGTTGTGCTCCAGTTCCTGCCATATGGGAGACATCAGATCAGAAACATCTGTGGGGTTGGCAGGGACAGGGGGCAGGTCCTGTGCTTCCCACCTGGGAGGACCCTGGGCTCAAAGTCAGAGAGATGGCCACACCAAGGCTCTGAGCTGGGGGGCGGCACCAGGACACATCCCCTCCTCTGACCCTGCTGCCTCGCCGGCCTCTCTCCCACAGTGGTCACTGCCACGCTAGCCGAGACGGGCCTCATGTCTCTGGGGATCCTGCTGCTCCTGGTCAGCCGCCTCCTTTTTGTCGCCATCAGCATTTACTACTATTACCAAGTTGGCCGAAGACCCAAGAAGGCTTAGCCGTCCGCTGGGCCTAGGGCCCTGCCCATGCCCGGAGCAGTGTGGCGCTGGGGCCTCAGCTTCCCTTTGGCTCCTGGAAGGCAGGAGGGTCCCCTGCCCTGCTCCAGCCCTGCCCCAGTGAGGCAGGGGGTGGGGGGCCTTCCTTTCCTCCTGGGCTCCCCATATGCTGTGATCTCCTGGGCTTTCAGGCTTGACATGCTGGCTTGGGGAGAGACGGGCTCTGCCGGCCCTATTCACCCTCACAGTGACACCTGCTTTCCTTGGAGGCCTCCAGATCCCCTCACTAGACACTAACGTCAAGCTGGAGTCATGAGGGTAGCGGGCTAAGTCAAGGCCCAGCCTCCTCTGCCAGGAAGCCCTTCTTGCTTTTGAGAGAGGCTGTGGCCACACCCCATCCTTCTCCCTCCACCCCCAGCCAGCCTAGTGCCCAAACGGCTGGACTTGCTTCCCTGTAATCCTAGAAAACCTGAGAACTTACCCTCCTCCTCAGTCTGGCCCTCTCCACATGCACACCCGGAACACACACAGACACACATATACACCCATGATGTGAGCAAGCACACACACAACACGCACACGCACACACGCTCGTCTGCACAGCCCAACTGAGGGCGCACAGGCAGGGTGTGCTGTCTGAGAGGGCACCTCCCTTTCAGCTGTTCTTCAAGGATGGGCCACACACAGCCAGAAGCCCTGTCCCCACTCTCCTGGGACCCGGCTCTGGGGCACTCCACCTATACCCCAGGACTGCGGAATCCCCTGGGAGCCCCCTCCCTGCAACCAGCCTGAGTTCAGAGGCAACCAGCAGCCACACCCACAGGCCCCATGGACAAAGGGACATACAGGCCCCAATGGAGGCCATTGTAAGTGGCGGGGCTGGAGGAGGAGGAGCAGAAGGAAAGTTACAGCGCTCCCTCATCCCCCAAAGCCCGATGGCCACTGGGCTCAGCCTGTCCCTCACTCCTCCCTGCTTCCCGGAAGCTGCCTTCTGCACCTGCAGCCCAGGCTGCCCCCAAGGTCTGGCTGAGTGGGACTGAGTGGCCCCCAAATTCGGCACGGGAAATAAGTGGAAACATTTCAGCAGGCCGCCTTCCCTCACCTCCACAGCCCTGTCCAATGCCCTAGTGAAGGCTGACAACTGGCTGTCTTGGAGCTGAACACCCCCCTGCCCTGCCTCTGCCCGTGGGCCCCCCAGCCTGTGCTGTATACCCCCCGTTAGTCCCTATCCCAGCCTCTCCTGCCTGCCAGCACGTGGGCACACACCGGAAGTGGCGAGCCCAAGCCCTGGGGACAGGTGTGGGAGAGAGGCAGCCATGGCCCCCGCCTCACTTCCCGTCTTGGCACAGAGTGGGGATGGCTAGAACGTGTCCACAGGTGCAGGCAGCTCTGGGTGCTGCCAGGTGGGCCCCTGCCTGGGGCCCTCACCCTGTCCACCCCCTGCCTGGCTGTCCCTGCACCCAGATGGCCTGTACCCAGCAGAGCAGTGGCACCACCATGGTTACAGTGGATGCCCTGAGGCTGCTTGGTAAACATGGCCGAGCCGAGTAGGAAGCTGGACGCTGGGGAAGGGCCCCTCTCCTGGCATCTGTCTCTTGCTGCCTAAGCCTGTGCCTCTCCCTAAGGAGCTGCCTCCCTGCTGCTGAGCCCTGGTTTGGCCACGAGCCACTGCTGCCTCCCACAGGCTGTGGCACCCGCGGGCAGTGCCCTCAGGCCGAAGCCTCAATCCCCCATCCGAGCCAGGCCTTTTGAGGTCCAGCTGATCCTCTCATAGCTACGGTTGGTTTGTCCTCCCATAACCGCAGGTGGATTCCACACCTGCGACTCCGAGACATCCAGTCTTCCATACTCAACGGTGGGATGGGAGGTGGGTGGCCTTACCCCACGGGGCTGGCCAGGTTCTGCACAGAGCTGTGCTCACAAAATACCGAGAGGCTTGGTTAAACCTAACTGTAGTGGGGCCTGGGGGCGGGGCGAGGGAGGGGGCTGCAGCTGGGATGAGACCTGGAAGACAGACATACAGCCTGCCGGGCAGGGGGCTCTAAGGCAAGGAGGATTTGCAGTCGGGAAGGAGGCGATGGCGGAGGGCGAGGGACGGAGGGCCCTGAAGTCCAGCGAGGAAGGCCCGGTGTGGGCCCCGCGCTCTGCTCCGTTCGGGGTGACCTGGAATGCCTCTTCTCCCAGCTCCCTCCGGCCATCAGCAGCCTCTGGCCAAGCTTCTGCCTTGCCCCAGTCTACCCCCACCCCCAAATCAAGACCACCTTTCACGGTCACTATTTATTCTTTGTTCCTTTTTCTTTTTGTAAGAAACAGTCACAAAAACCAGTGCAAAACCATCTGTGTGGGCGTCCTGTTTTATATTACAAAACTTCCTCTGGATAGATCATATAAAAGGGGGCTCACAGGAGAGAAACACGATAAATTAGCTCTGCAATCTACCGCAAGGAACATAGCTTTTAAAATAGACTTTCAACATATGACCCATGGGGGAAGGGAGGAGGGGGCTTCTGGGGAGATGGGGGTGCTGGGGCCTCAGCTGGTTTGGGGAATCTTGTCTGGGCCCCTTACTCACAGATAGACAGATGGACAAGGGAGGCTGAGGAAAGGCCTGAGCACCAAGACTAGAAATTAACAGGGACCCTGGGGAGGGGCCCTCACCCCCAGCCCTTTCTCCAAAAGGGAAAGAGATATTCCCTTTCTCCAAGAGCCAGTAGCTTCGGAGCAGGAAAGTGGCTTTCAATACAGGCCAGCGTGTGTGATGAGTGGTATGTCTTGTTCCTTGCTCTGTTAGTGAGGTCCGAGGAAGTCTCTATTGTGTGCCGTCGTATTCTGGGGTGAAAAGAGACGAAGAGGCATCCCTGCTACTCTTCCCCCACCCCCAGCCACCACCAGAACCTGCTGTGGGTTGTATCTGGACCAAGCCAGCTGAACCCTCTGCCTCCCCATGCTCTGGAGGGAGGCTCAAGCCTGATTTGCGCTGAGCTTTCTTTGCCTTGCCTCAAAGAAACGGCCTCAGGCAGCCTTGCAAATAGCTACCAGTCCGAGCGATGCCAACAGGAGCAGAAACTGCCTGTCTTCCCTTTCCAGGCTGAGGGTGGCCAGCGGCTGGCTGGGAGCTGAATCCGGGCTGATGGAGGGTTCCTTGGCACATTCGTGGGAAGCTGTCGAGGAGCAGTCTTGTATCTGCCCATGAACCCATCTTAGCCAGATTTCCCTCCGTGACTGGCCCGTTCTCCTGGGTCCTCCCTCTGGCTTGTATGGGCCCCAGAAGCCTGGGGTGCCCCTGGGTTAGAGCCATAAAGTTGTGCCATTTGCCTCAGTCCTGCCCAGCCTGGGTTGGTTTGTCATTCTCAGACCAGCCATTTGCCTTTTCCAGGAAGCTGGGGCTAAGCGTGTGGGTGTTCAGGAGAAGCAGGCGCCAGGCCCTTCCCAGGTTGGCCCGCAGTACCACTGGCAGGTCCCCCTGGGTCTTGGGAGCTTAGCTTCTATGGAGCTCAGGTATTGTTTATGGGGTTGCCAGAGCAAGCTGTTAAAGGGACGATTTGGGAAGACTGAGCTCAGAGACCTTGTGGGAGGGCTGGCACTGGTGGGCGGGCTGGCACTGGTGGGTGGGCTGGCACTGGTGGGCATAGCAGGAGGAGATGGGAGGACGGTCCGCCTGAATCTGCAGCAGGCACAGAGCTTCTGGCTGCATCTCAAAAGGGGCCAGGTGGTACAGGCTGGGGAACACTGGACTCTAGGCTGTGGCTCCGTGTGTCCCTGGTGGCTGGAAAGCCCAAGGGGAGGCTGGAAACTGGTACAGGGTGCTGGTGGCTTGTGAGACAGAATGAGCTCTTCCTGAAGAGGGACAGAGGGGAGAGAAGAGAGCAGACCTCACACTGCTCCTTCTATCCCTGCCCGTGGCAGACATCACTAATCAAACTTGCCGTGCCTGGCAGATATCACTCATCAGGATTGTACCACGGTCTCCCACTGAGCCCAGACCAAGCCTCGGATACCAGGACAGCCTCCAGCAGCCACCCCTGATCTATCAGGATAGGGGCATCTTGCAATCCAGGTGCCAACACTTGTCTAGAATTTGAGGCCTGAATACTTGTGGGTGTGCATCTGTGAGCCTCCCTGCCCAGGCCTGGAGGGAATACTAAGAATTGTGTGGACAGTGAGGAGACAGGAAGCCTGTTGCAGCAGAAATGGCCTCGATGCCTTTAGCCTGGAGAGAAGAGGGCTCAGGGGAGTCAACGTGTGACCTTAACACTCCAGGAAGGAGAGCAGGCAAGTGGGATGCCGTGGATGGAGCACACAAAAACAGAAATCTCTTCTGTATATTAAGTTGATGCTCAAGTCAGAGTAGTCCAAAGGCAGGAGGCTGCCTTGGGAGGTAGGAAGCTCTGTCCTAGAGGTATGCGAGGGGGTGAAGAAGTCTTGGCCAGGACCTTGAAGAAGGATCTCCAAGCCTCATTTCTGGATGGGGAGAGGGAGACCCAGATGGCCTTGGGAATTTCTTCCACTCTGGGAGCTGGGGAGTTGGGGAAGGGCAGGGAAGGGGGTGGCCTTCCCTGTGGGGAGAGGTGGGCAGTGTGGACAAGGGGGTGTGATGTGCACCCTTGTGTGTGTTCCTGGGGATTTAGAGCTGTGGGGAGGTGGGAGGCAGGGTGCAGTGGGACGTCAAGGAGCGGAGTTTTCTTAGCTGTAGAGAAGGGAGGAGGCAGTTCTGGCCAGCTTGCCCTCTCTTGTCTGGGGGAACCGGGATGCTGAGGCCAGGCATGCATGTGTACAGCAGAACTGACAGTCCTGGATGCCGTGACAGCAGCCTGGAGACATCTCAGCTGCTTTTCAGAACCGTCACACGCCTGTGCTGTGTCTGTGGATGGGTCACTGCCCCTCTCTGGGCCTTTGAGATTTTTTAGTCCAACAGAGGGGAAAGCAGACATCCTGCCAGCTGGGCCATTCTTGAATGTTGTGTCAGCAGCTTACTCTTGGCCTTGACCTGAAGCGGGGACAATCCATGGCAGCTGAGTCTCCGTGGGGCCCCCTGGGCTTTGATGACCTCTCGGAGATTGGCTTTTGCCTCCTTCCTTGTTGCCTAAATCCTCACTTCCTTGGCATCAGGTCCTGGAGCAGTGAGGAGGGAGGGGCCAGGGTCCGGCTGGACCAAGGAGGGCACGGGGCCTGGTGTTCCTTTGGTCTCTAGAGCAGCCTCCATCCTGGGCCAGGCGCTGGGGTCTCTGCGGAGAGTCCACAGCATCTGCCCCGACTCCAGGTGAGGATACCTCAGTCCATATTTTTGTATTCATTTTGTTTTGTTAAAAAAATAGCTTTATTCCCCTGGCCCCTTCTCCTGACCATCTATGATGGCCTCATCTTCTCCTCTGGGGCCAAGAAGACAGCAGAGAGGGGCAGGGGAGGGCATCGGGTGCTGGGCAGTGGTGGGCAGGGTGAGTCTTCAAGCTTCAGGCCACACCCTCTACTGGATGCCCCGGAAGAGGCACATGGCGAAGATCATGGCAAAAAGCTGCAAAAAAAAAAAAAAAAAAAAAGCAGGAACTGGCTTATCAGGCTGGGCCCTTTGTGGGTGGCCAGGCCCACTCCAGGGGAAGGGGGCCATCTGCCTCAGGGACAGAGTGAATGCCTGTCACTCTTAGCATACTCCCCTAAGAATTCCCCTGGGGCCAGTCCTTCTCACCAGCCCCTACCTGGCTTCCTTTATGTGGTGGAGTCGTGGACCAGGAGGACTTTAGAAACTGAGTCTTGAGTTCAAATCCAGCTCCCTGGCTTACAGGGGTGACCTTAGAAAAAGCACTTCCCTTCTCTGGGCCCGAGTATGTATCCAGAGTTGGCCATGTCCCAGGCACGGTTTTAAGTGGTTTCTTGGGAGGTACATAATCTACCTGAGGTCACACAGACACCAGCAAGGGAGCTGGGGTTTGAGTCCAGGCATCTGACCCCAGAGCCCGTGTTCACAGCCCCTGCAGGCTCCCCTCCAGCTCACAGGAAGGTGGTGAGAGTTAAGTGTCATGCAATTGCTTAATGACGTAACGTGCCTGTTATGTAGTAGATGCTCAGTAAAAGGTTACCAGAGCTGCTATGAATAGGCAGGCAGCTGCAGCCCTTCCTGGAGTTATGTGCTTCATCCCTGAACGCCTGTCTGAGGGTCCTGGAGTGGTGGGAAAGGGAGACCTTAGCTCAGGGACTCTGACCAAATTTGCTCTGACCATGACTCCACCACATAAAGGAAGCCAGGTAGGGGCTGGTGAGAAGGATGCCCCCACAGCCCGAGCTCTTTTTGCAAGTAGCTGAGGTCATGGCCACATCACCAGGAGGCTCACTGGGGTGAGGAGGGACGGCCGGGATGGGACCACGTAAAGGTCTCTGTCTTGAATCAGATTCTGCCTCCCATGGGGCTGGCCAGCTGGGCTCGTGGGCTGGGCTGTGAGTGAGGCAGTGGATCAAGTATATGAATGCTGCTTCCCGAGCCCCAGCGGTATGCTGTCCCTGCCATCTGTAATCCCTCTGCACCCTGGGAGCAGGGTGACCAGCCCATTTTGCAGATGAAGAAACTGTGGCTCAGATATTCCGCCACAGAGCTGGGAGCTGGACTCTAGGGCCTGTGCTCTTCCTGCGTGGGACACATTCCTGAGAGTTCCCTGGGGCTTGGTGCACATTTATCTCGTTCATTGTTGCCTCCCATGAGGGGACTTGTTCACCTGTGACAGTGCTGGCACAGAGTAGGGCTCCATGCATGCTTGTTGATACATGAATGAATAATAAATGACCCCCCTCTCTGCCATTGCCAATAGCCTCTCCGAAGCTGCGGTCGGTGGGGCTGCAGGCACAGTGGGAAAGTGGGCAAGGCCAAGTTCATGATGCCAGGTGCCCAGGCTGCTGGAGGGGGAAGCTGAGGATTGGACTGCCTGACTTCCTTCCCCCGCAGGCCGAGGGCTGGCTGAGGCCCCAGGGTGCCTCTTCCTGGGGTTGGTCAGGTTGGGACGCGCTCTCTACAGCCCCCTGGAGCCGCAGGTCGGAGATCCCGAAGGAGGAGATCCCGGAGGTTGGAGATCCGAGGCGGCTGCTCCTCTCTTTGGCTGAGGCGCCACCTAGTGGTGGTTGCAAAGGGTCTGCAGGAGCTCAGCTTTCGAGGGGACTCTGGCGCCCTCAGGTAAAGGAGACTAAGACCACCGTTGTGGATGAATAAAACCCCATAGGCCCTGAACACCCCACAGAGAAAAGGCCCGATCTTGAACCGCAGGCTGCGGCCTGTCCTTCAAGGCAGCTGTGCAGATCCCTCTGCAAGCGTGGAATTTCTCTGGACCATGGAGCTGGGGTGGAGGTGGGGTCAGGGGTGGGGAGTGGGAAGGAGTGGGGATGACCCTCAGGGCCTGCCCATCCCCACTTCTGGGACACTGGCTCCAGGTTTCATCTCCAGAGTTCAAGAATGACTCTCAGGCAGCAGAGACACAGCTGGGCTTACCACCCCATAGTGCCCATGGAGTGGGGGGACCCCTTGGGTCTCAGGTGAAGGAAATGGAGAGGTGGGTGCTGGGGGCGCAGGCCATGGGGATCTGCCTGGGCTCCACGTCAGGCTTTGTCCTGGGGAGCGGCAGAAGTGGTGCCTTTACTTACCTCGATGGCCAGTACCCCGATGGCAAGCGCTCCGGCCAGGTAGACGTACGTTTCGAAGGTGTTGAGGATCACCGTATAACAGCCCTGGGAGGGAGGGACAGGAGGTGAGGCTGTGGCCAGTGGGGAGAGTCCTGCTGCCAGAGTCCAGCATGTGGATAGGGTTCCTGGCAGGTGGCCCCAGAGCTCTTACCCTATCACATGGCTGCTGGGACCGAACAGTGGGGAGGGGGTGCAGGGCAGGAGACCCAGAAATAGCAACTTGGCAGCACTGTACCAAAGACTCTCCTTGCCACCCGGCCCCTAAGGGGGGCAGAGACCTGCCAGGGTGTAGGTTGCCTTATGTCGCTACTACAGTGATTGGAAGATTGGGAAATTTCCCATAAATATCTGGATTTCCTGCTGCTCTGGGGAAATCAGAAGAATCAGCAAGGGGACCATCCTTTTCACATCAGCATATCAGCAGCTGCTGCCTTTGGATGCAGTAGGTGCTCCCTGGGGGTCTAACACCCTCATTCCCTGTTGTCCCACCTCCACCCCCTCTACTGTTCCTGGCTGCAGAAGGAGTTCCAGTTTTCAGCCACTTCCCCAAGGAAACACAACCCAGCCTTCAAAACCCTGCTTGTGTGCTACCTCCTTTGGGCAGCTTTCTGGGACCAGCCCAGCCCACAGGCCCTGGACCTAATTCCCATTCTCTTAGTGCTTTCTTAGGCAGTCCTGAAGATACATAAACTGAGACAGAGACAGAGACAGAGATCGAGATAAACAGAGTGGCGTGGGGACTGGGGAGACGGAGAAAAAGCAAGCCAGTGCCGAGCCAGGAGCTGCCAGTCCATGGCTGCTGCCCCATCTGACCCTGAGCACCTCACAGCTCTGTCATCTTCATGTTCATCACTCTCCCCTCTCCTATGCTGACCGCAGACACTGGTGCGTGGTACTTGCTTTGAATGACACATATTCTCAAAGTGGGAGAACTTTCCTTTCTTTATAGGAACGTGCAAGGGAACAAGTCCCCAGGTGGGGGTGGATTGATCACGCCCAGCCCTTGTTGGGTGGCGGTTGCTATTTGTTGAGACCAGGGATTCTTGGGTGCTCACTTCCGTTGTCCATCACGCAGAAGCTTGGTCCCTTTGGCCAAAAGTTGCTCTGAGGCTGTGCCCAGGCAGGTGGACTGCGGGGCCTGATCTGGGATGAGTGGCCTGGTGGTATCCTAGTACCTGCCTGGAAGTTGACCAGAAGCTGAGCGGGGAAGGCCCCCAAAAGCCCGTCCTGGAGCCCCATGGGGCAAACAGGATATACCCAGATGGAAACAGTCCCCACCAGCACAATGATCTGGGTCCACAACCCTCTCAGGGCTGAGTGTGCTTGGAATAAGCTGAGAACTGGTCAGCAATGCAGATACCAAGGCCTCGCTCCACAACACTGGATCAGTGAGTCTGGCCTGGAGCCCAGGAATCAGCATTGTGGGACGACGCCTAAGGTAATTTCTAGTGACCAGGCTGTGGCCAGGGTTTGAAAGACCTCAGGCCCAGAGATGCCAACCAGGAGAAAAGGTCTTCATTGAATATTCCAGCCTTGTCTCTGCTGTGGCACTGGGAGTCCAGTTAAGGGCTGTGTGACTGGGACAGAGCCCTAAGGGTGGCTCAGGGGTCCCTACCCCAGGCCAGGTCAGGACATCAGTGTGGCTGGGGTTCCCTGCAGGGCTGGCACATCCACTCCATGAGGCCCAGGGGCCATCCTGGATCTGCCAGCAAACCCATGTTGGAGTCTCAAATCTTTTGTTAAGTGATTTTGAAGCATCGGAACCCTAAAATGCAGAACTATAACAACAAAAAAGCTAACCTGCTCTGCAGGGAAGGAAAGAGAGATGAGCTGCAGAGTTGCTTGGTTTTGGGATCAGCCCTGGGAGGGGCCGCCTCCGGCCTCCCATCATCCCCTCCGTGTTCCGCATGCCTGCCAGCCACAGGCGCATCATCCCACCTCCTGCAGCCCCAGCACACCCCTGGGCTTGTGAAGCTTTTCCAGGGGTTGCCGGGACAGGAAGCAGCAATGGCCCAGGAGACTGGGGTCTGGCAATGGTTACAGGTGGGCCCTGGGGCCGGCTGCCTGGGGTTCCAGCCGGCCCTGCCACTTGCTTGCTGTGCGACCTTGGGCTATTTACTTCCTCTCTCTATGCCTCAGTTGCCCCATCCATACAGTGGGGCCAGGAAGATTAATTACCTCATGGGACTGCTGTGAGGATAAAATGAGGTAATGCAGGTAAGGCGCTAGGAAGAGTAATGGCAGGTAGCAAGCTCTCAATCTCAACCCATTAGGATTACCAAGGAGTACCGGCCGCAACTCTGTGCCGCTCTCTAAGCACATCCTGAGTGGTGGAAAGTGTCTGAGCATGGAGTTGGGTGTCATTGCAAGACAGTCACACACACACACACACACACACACACACACACACACACGGGACAAGAGAAGCAGCATGAAATTGACTTTGACATGCCTCACCTGGGGAAGTTGGCAAGAAGCTGGGGGCCTTGTCCAGCAGAGGGAAGCCAAGCCCTGCTGCGTGGCACCTGGGCCTTGACATTTCATCTTCCCCAATCAGGCTTTGGCACCAATGACCCTTCAGGCCCCTGGACTCAACCAAGCAGCCCAGGTTGGCCAAGGGAAGCTTCCCAGGAACACAGACATCCTTGGGGAGTTGGGGCGTGGACGGGACGACACCACCCGAGCTGAGCAAGTGTCCATTCTCTTGAGAACTTTGCTAGGGCCTCATGGGCTCTTTCTCACTTGATCCTCATTACAGCCCCTCAGGGAGGAGGGGTCTTACCTGCTTTTTACCCATGAGAAAAGGGAGTGAGGAGCAGTGGCTAACTAGCTCAAGATCACATATGAGGAGGGGAAGCCAAGGGAAGAAGGCGGATTCCAAGTTCCCACCCTTTCCTCTGTTCTAAAGGGAAGGGGGCTGTCATGAGCAGCTGGGTTCTCCCTCCTATGGGCCAGGCCGTTGGCTGGAGCCTGAGCTTACATCTACACACCTGGAGATCACCTCACTGTCATCATCTCCCCACCACGATGCTTTCCCGCCACCACCGGGTGAGACACATGGCGAGGAGCCTCTCTCCCCAGCCTGGCACCACAGACTATCAGTCCTCCAACCATGTGGGCTGTTGCCAGCACCGCCCTCCCTCTCTGCCAGGTGGGCACATCCCCTGCCCCCAGCTGCCACCCACAGTTACCCCCCACCGAATCTGACAAGGGGCAGCCAGGCCCGGCTGCCACCATGATGGTCACTCACATGCAATGCTTCCCACATGTGTATCTCCAGCACCGCCCCCCTCCAGCTCCACCCCATACATCCAACTGCCCACTGGGAACCTCTGCTTGGCTGTTCCAAAGACTTCTCTTTTTATGAGATGGAGTCTCACTTTGTCACCCAGGCTGAAGTGCAGTGGAATGATAGCTCACTCAACCTCCGCCTCCTGGGTTCAAGTGATTCTCCTGCCTCAGCCTCCCAAGTAGCTGGGATAACCAGCACATGCCACTATGCCAGGCTAATTTTTGTATTTTTAGTATGGAAGGGGGTTTCTCGATGTTGGCCAGGCTGGTCTCGAACTCCTGACCTCAGGTGATCCGCCAGCCTCAGCCTCCCAGAGTGCTGGGATAACAGTCATGAACCACTATGCCTGGCCTTCAAAGGCTTCTTCCACTCAACATGCCCTAGACTGAATGCAAGATCTTCCCCCAAACCAGAAACCAGTCATCCTCAGCATCTCCTCCTATCCGGTCCTCCAAAGAGGATCCATCAGGAAGGCTCGTAGATTCTGCCTCCTGAACATTTCTCAGATGCACACACCTCTCTGTCTTCACTGCGATCACCCTGGTCTCACCTGCTGCCCTTTCTTACTGGGACCAGTGTAAAAGCCCCCTGTCCACCCAGGTGCACCGCCAATCCCTGGCCACAGAGCAGCTAGGGTGCCCCAATGGCCACGCCATGCATCCCTGCATACCTCACCCCCACTCCAACCCCCACAGTGAACTCACTCCTCCTACATTCTTGCCACGGGCCTGCCAGCAAAGTCAGAAATGCATTCTGGGGCCGGGTGCAGTGGCTCACACCTGTAACCTCAGCACTTTGTGAAGCCGAGGTGGGTGGATCTCTCGAGGTCAGGAGTTTGAGACCAGCCTGGCCAACATGGTGAAACCCTGTCTCTACCAAAAAATATAAAAATTAGCTGGGCGTGGTGGCCACGCGCCTGTAGTGCCAGCTACTTGGGAGGTTGAGGTGGGAGAAACGCTTGAACCTGGGAGGTGGAGGCTGTGGTGAGCTGGGATTGTGCCACTGCACTCCAGCCTGAGCGACAGAGACTCCATCTCGAAAAAAAAAAAAAAATGCATCGTGTGGTTTGGAGAAAAAGACAAATAGAGGCAGTCCCGCAGCAGCAGGTTTTTAA